AATATATTTTCACTTACCTGTGTGATAAGCTAAACTTAAGAAATGTAAAATGAATAGAAATTTTCGTAAAATTGGTAAAATTCACATGAGTATAAAATATTTTTTTTGAAATATCAACGTTCATTATGTTAAATTAATAAGATACAATCAAACTGATTACAAAACGAAATATTTACAAAGTAAATTGTTAACTTTGAATTTGAAAAACTATAACAATATAATTGTAACTTCGGATCTTAATACAAAATAAAATATTTACAAATTTGGGTTCGGTTTGACTTTTTTTCTTTTTATACCAAATCAAGCCAAGAGTGGTCGGTTTTTTTTTTTTCAACCGCCAAACCAACCAAACCAAACCACAAATCGATTTTTTTTTCCTGTTTGATTTGGTTCATCGGTTCGGTTTGACTTTATGATTTGATTTATACACCCCTAATTAAAATGATGAAATCTAAGGAATCAAGATTTTGACTGTGGAACGATGAAAAACTATACAATAAGTACCTTTGAACAACTTAATAATAAATCAAATGATATGTTGTCTCTTAAGTTAAAATCTAACTAAATTATACAAGGTAATAATTTTAACATCTAGTTGTGTTATATCAATTCGAATTCGAATTAGTTTTCTTAGCCTCTAAAGAAAATTCTATAACAAAACTTTGCAAAACGATATTTTCACAAGTCAAGCGTTTCATTGTTAGTAATTGATCTCACTTTCTTAAAAAAAAATGTACAAAACGTTCAAAGAGAAAAGAGAAGAGATAAATGTCAAAAACACACCTAAACTATCTCCTTTATTTGAGTTTCATATCTAAACTATTGAGAGTGTGAGTTTCAGAACTAAACTATCACTTATTAATTTGAGAAAAAACATCAGTGATGTGTGTAATGCACTCACTCTTTTATTTTAAAAAATCTTGACACATGGCATTCCACATGGATAAAATGTACCACCTTGACAAAATTAAATAATAAACTATTAATATTAATTAAAAATTAAAGATTAAAGTATTACTATTCCTAATATATATATATGAGCTATTGTAAGATGATATGATAAAAGATGAAATATGATTATTAAATAATAAATAAAGACAAAATTAGAAGAAAATATTAAGGTAACGACGTAATCACACCAAATCAATCGTTACATAAAATAGATCTTTTCGTCATTATCTAAAGAGATAAGTGTCAAAAGCACACCTAAACTATCCCTTTTATTTGAGTTTTCCTATTTAACTCTCTGCTCCTAATTTATTTATTTATTTTTACATTTTTCTCGTTTTGTGTTAGATATATA